CAACAACATCTTGGAGTGTACTTGTTAGACATGAGTGTTTCTATGGGGTATGTAGTTTGTCTGCTTATGTCCTTCACCAGGTGTCTGCTTAGATTTTTCTAATTCATTTTTAAGAGTTCTTTTTTCTTTTTCTTTTTTTTTCCCTTTTTTTAATTAGCATGTTCATTGTTACAAATCATACTTATTCTTTGTGCCCCTTATCCAATCTTCCCCCTTCCCCTCCTTCTTCCCCGCCCCCCTCTAATAGCCATAGATTTGTTCTCTCTGTCTGATAAACGGTTCCTCTGTGGTCTGTTGCCTACATGGTCTGTCCAATACTGAGACAGATGTGATCAAGTCCTCACCTATTATTGTAAATCAAATGTTACTTCTATTACTCTTACTCTGGAGTATGATTTGTGAAGATAGAGGACCTCTTCCTTCTTTCTTTCTTTCTTTCTTTTTTTTTTTTTGGTCTCCACTGGGGCCTTTCCTTGTGTCAATGCAGTTGAGAGTCTGGCGTGCCATCTGCATGGTGGCTGTGACTGCTGCTATAGAGACTAGCTGCTTTTGCAGCACCAGTGGCAATTGTGGTGGCTATGGTGAGATACCTGCATGAAAATGGTGTTTTTGGTGTGCTCTTTACCTAGTTGTGGCTGGGTTGGGCTTTCCCCAGGCTGCATTGCTCAGGACCCCGGCAGGCCCTGGGGCAGTGGTGGCAGCTTGCCTGGTTGCAGCTGGATCCCTTGGCTCCATGCCTCAGGGCCTGTGTGGGGAAGAGTTCTTTTTTCATTAAGGATGTTAATCTTTGTTTTAAATTTGTTCCTTATCAATTGACATTAAAATTAATTTTTTAAAAATCTGTGAAAAAAAATTAACTTCAAAACCAGATATACATGGAGAACATTTCAAGAAATTCATTACAGAGTGTGTGATTAGTGGTTTAAATGTGACTCTTGTAAATTAATTACTCGTATCCTTTTAGGGTCTGTCACATCATTCTAACATATTAGCTGAACAGAACTTGAGTGGTTTCACATTAGCTGGCTTAGTCAGCTTTAGTTTTTATCTAAAGGATGAACACCTGGTTTGTAAGTTTGATTACGTTTACTTTATTCAATTCAATAGGGTATATATTAGTCACAGAGTGGAGGTGAATTCGGTATCTTTCTTTAACCCTATGCTATTTCTTTTAGAGGAAGTCCACAAATGAAAGGGACACCCCACTTTAAGGAAGAACAGTGTGCTCCAGCATTAAATTTAGAGATGAAGAAAATATTGGATTTGCAGGCACCCATCATGAGGTAAAGTACTTTGGTTAAATTTTGCATTTTTGATGACAGTAGATAATGTAGTTGGTAATCACATGACCAACAGGAAAGTTGATTTTATTTCTTTTAATTAGATGTAACTTTTTAGTACTAGAAATACTAGATAAACCCTTATAAGACATGTAAAGCTATACAAATGGCACATCATAATATTTAAACTAGGGCCGGCCCGGTGGCGCACTGCTACAGTGCGCCACTTGGGAAGCGCGGCAGCTCTCCCGCCGAGGGTTCGGATCCCACATACAGACCGGTTCCCGCTCACTGGCTGAGCAAGGCGCGGGAGCAACGCCGAGGGTTGCGATCCCGTTGCCGGTCCCGGTCCGGTACGGGGGCGACACTGAGGGTTGCGATCCGTTGCCGGACACGGAAAAAGACAAAAGACAAAAAATAAAAAATAAAAAATAAAAAAAAAAGAAAACCAAGGGAATAAGATGAATTTAAGAAAGAGTCATCAAGAGTGTCAAATGCTATAAAGAATT